CTGCTCCTTGACATGGAGGAAAAGAACTGGGGCTCATCACACTAAGGACCATGCACTGCTCGTAACAGCAGCAGCCCATCTCCTCACGTGCTATTGCCTATGTCTTTGGCTTGTTCAGTCCAGCACAAGGTCCTGAAGATGACAAAGGTCTTATGAAGCTTTGGTCTAAGGTGAAGAAGACATCTAACATTTTAAATAAAATGTCTACATAATACACAACCACAAATAAAAAGTGAAAATTTCAGAATTAAGATTTCAGTGTATTGTATAAGACTCAAACCAAAATTTCCTCTCTGGAAATTTTACCATGACATATTAGCATTAGGATTGCTGACAAGCAGATATATCCCCATGCTGGCACAAGGGAGAATTAGTAACAGTGGATTTACACTTGACTTTGACATTTTGCAGTTAGCTTTTCATGTCCTGCTACCACCTGCAGCACTAACAAGTGCAACCAGAGTGCAGACATGAGTGCAACCCAGACATGTCATAGAGGAAGTGAAATATATGGACAGGCATTCAAAATCTTAGTAAGCTGAAGTATATGTTAATACACAGGTAAATGTGACAGGCACAATAAAAGCATCCCAGCACCAGAAACTTAAATACTTGTCCATTCCAGGTGTGCACCCAGAACACTGATGTATAGACTGAGGCTATGGGTGAGATGAAAAGCAAGAAATAACCACCAGCTTGTGTTGAGATGATCCAGGAGGGATAGCTACATCTCAGCTGCTTCCACCTTGTCCAAACTTATCCTGCAGTTTACCTGGTACATGCACTTGCTGAACTGAAGCACCACAGTCAATTTTGATCTACTCCTATGTGAGAAAGGAGTCCACACTTAAAACATTGCATAATACACAGCCCCCCACTAGCTTGCATGGCTTTCATGTATTTGTGAAAGAACCAGACAAAAAATAGCAAGGATAATCTACAGAAGGAATCAGTAAAGAGCAGCTGTAAAAAAAGAGGAGAGGAGAGAGAGAGTAAGGAAATTTAAAAAAAAGACGATATTTATCTCCAAATATTTTCCAGTTTTGTGCATCACCTGTCACATTAGAACACAAACGCTTTTCAGACAGGAGAGTGGAAGGTTTTCTTGTTCAGGGGTGTCTCCTGAAAGGAGGAAAATGGGTGGATGTCTGGGGACTGAATGAGCTTTCTGGAAGAAAGTGGTATAGGTCCTGCTTCATAACAACTCAAGGCAGCAAGATTCATTAAGATTCAAGTATTTTTTCCTTCTTATTTGAGACCTTTATCTAACCGTTGATTTAACCGTAAAACAGAGATTCATTGTTCATGGTAAAAGAAAATGTTTACACTTGTGGTCTGAGCTTTCTGTTACTCATGAAAACTGGTACATATCCTGTAACTGTGCTATATAAAGATTTAGCAGAAATAAACAATTGCTGGTTAACTGCCATTCAGATTTAGGACAAAGATCAAAGACTTCTGCCACAGTTTTAATGTATTGACTTTAGTTATTTTTTTTTTCAATTTTGCTGAGCTGATTCCTGACATCCCAGTTGAAGTGATCCTGTTTCAAAAGTTGCTGAGCAACTTCAGATTTACTGAGTGGGTGAACTCTAATTTCAGATGCTCTGCACTCAAGTGGGCAAGTGCTTGGTTGCACGTGCACAGTCTAAACAACTTGAAAGGACCAGCTCATGTAAATAAAGTTATATATGTACCTTATAATCCACGGGATCAGAGCACAGGTTTCAAAAGCTTTAACTCAACTTTTTCATTCCTCCTCCTGGCTCTGGGGATTAATGATTAAGTAAGAAAAACAAACAATGAATAGTTCAGTTTAACTCCTGAGAATTTTTTATTCCATTTGAGTGAACTAATACACTCCTTTGTGAAATGGGAAGCAACAGTTAATATTGTATATTTTTATGTGCCATCTATTCTAACGTGGCAACAGAGAAGTTTGCAAAATTTTTCTGCATTGTGGTAGTCAGTTTAAGATTCATTTACTCTGACACTGATGTGTCTGCAAAAATCTCACAGTGAATGTAATAAGTCTAGCTGCTATTTCATAAACGTTTGTTTTATCTCTCTACCGCTATCTCATTTGGCATTCTAGCTTACATCAGTTGAAGTAAACAGTAATCTTGACATTAGCTTCAGAAGCAATGGTACTAATAATATGTTACACCAACAGTATAAAAGTGAAACACTTCTCTGCACATACCTCAAGACCACTAGTTTTATGAGACACTTTATTAGTACCAGGACATATGCAAGAGATCACTGGAAAGTCATCTTGTAGGCTAACAAGTAGAAGACAAAACTTTATCTGGATACAGAAGAGTTTGTTGACTTACTTTAGGTCTTACTTTCTTCATCCCATTGGAAACTATGGCAATATCCTGTCTACAGTCTTATTAGTACAAGTCTGTCAACATCTGAGTGCAAATCCACTCCAGGGCATGCTTTTATATCTTGGAACACCAAATGCATTTTCCTATTGTTATTTAGAGTAATTACAACGGTAAAAGTCAGGTATATTCTTGGAAGACTTACAAGAACAGTTACTTCCCAACATCTGGCTCAAGAAAAAAAGATATACACCAGCTGAGGATATTAAATGCAAGAAGTAAAGTCACTGACTGCAGCGTTAACAGAAGGAAAAAAACCCAACAAAACACTAAATTAGAGAGGACAGGTTCAGAACAAAAAAAAAAGAAAAGAACCAGAGATGGCAAGATAGTATGTTTAGCCTAGGGTTAAACCTCCCTCATTTTCCATAAATGTTGTATTTAATTAACATTTGATTACTCAGTGTGGCCAAAACCACGCACTGGATGAAAGCCTGGCACTGAGGAGCTGCAGGCGAGCACGTCCCCGTCCCAGTCCCCAGCAGCTACCCATCCTGCCTGCTCAACGCGCCAGTCCTCGAATGGAGGAATTGCCTTTGGAAACATCAAGCCGATTGCAGATGACCTTGGCATAATGACTGGCCCTGGCAGAAAACCTGGCACCTGGTGGGTTGCAGCCTTCGGCAGCCCGGCTGTGCGTACCGCAGCGTGGCACTGCCCCGGCTGAGCACCAGCCCCCAGCACCAGGGCTGCTTGCAAACAACCACCTGCATGATGTGGCTTCGTCACCCCTTTCCCCTCTT